AGGGTTTAGGGTTTAGGGTTTAGGGTTTAGGGTTTAGGGTTTAGGGTTTAGGGTTTAGGGTTTGGGCGTTTCGTTTGGCTGTGTGGGGAGCTCGTGCTTGCTGGGGTGTATGTACATACACCCGAGCCAGTGCTGCTGCTGCTGCTGCTGCTGCTGCTGCTGCTGCTGCTGCACGGATTTCCGTGCACTCCGTGCTGCTGCAAGCTTCGCAAGGCCTGCTGCTGCTGCTGTTGCTGCTGCTGCTGCCGCTCTCTTTGCTGCTGCTCTCGCCGCTGCTGCTCCTGCCCCGCGACCGCCGCCGCCACCGCTGCTGCTGCTGCTGCTGCTGCTGCTGCTGCTGCTGCTGCTGCTGCTGCAGTACCGCGTGCGGCCGCGGTTCCGCACTGTGTGTCCGCTGCTGGAAGCTGACGAGCGGCTGCAGCAAAAGTACGGAGGCGCCGCTTGCCCAGGCCTTTTTCCGACTTGGGACGAAGAGGGGATTTTGGAAGAAGTCCACGAGTGCATCAACCAGCCGCCCCCGGATATGGAGGTCCTCCTGCTGCTGCTGCTGCTGCTGCTGCTGCTGCTGCTGCTGCTGCTGCTGCTGCTGCTGCTGGTGCTGGTGCTGGTGCTGTGGCTGCGTAGGCGGTGAATAGTGGCTGCTGCAGTTTGGCTGGTTGCGGCGAGGCTGGCTGGCCGCGTGCTCGCTGGGAGCAGCAGCAGCTGCTGCTGCTGCTGCGCCGCTGCAGCCGCTGCTGCTGCTGCTGCTGCTGCTGCTGCTGCAGAGCTACCCAGTGAACCTGGAGTGGGACAACGTGGCGGGCTTGGCGCCGGAAAACCAAGAAGAGCGCCCCTGGTGGTACAGCCAAGTGCACTTCCCCACAAGGCGGGCAGTGCAGCGAGCTTTCGAAGAAGGAGTTGAAGATTTCCGAAAAGTAATTCAACAAGAGTTCAACTTGCTGCAGCAGCAAGACAGGAAGGAGGCGCAGCGCCTCGCGAGCCTGCAGGCGCAGCGGGAGCGGCGAAAGAAGGGGCTCTGAGCGGCAACAGCTGCTGCTGCAGCAGCAACAGCCGCAGCTGCAGCAGCAACAGCCGCAGCTGCAGCAGCAACAGCTGCAGCTGCAGCAGCAACAGCTGCAGCTGCAGCTGCAGCAGCAACAGCTGCTGCAGCAACAGCTGCAGCTGCAGCAGCAACAGCTGCAGCTGCAGCAGCAACAGCTGCAGCTGCAGCAGCAGCAGCAGCAGCAGCAACAGCTGCAGCTGCAGCAGCAATAGCTGCAGCTGCAGCTGCAGCAGCAATAGCTGCAGCTGCAGCTGCAGCTGCAGCAGCAACAGCTGCAGCTGCAGCTGCAGCAGCAACAGCTGCAGCTGCAGCAGCAACAGCTGCAGCTGCAGCAGCAACAGCTGCAGCAGCAACAGCTGCAGCTGGGAGGGACTTTCAGGCTTTTTGCAAAAGCTTTTGAGCTTAGGAGTGCAGCAAAGTTGGTTTCAAACGCGAAGAGCAGCAAAGACCGCGGCGCAGCGGCCAGTTCAACTTTTTTGCAACTCGCGGCCAACTCGGCGCCGAAAACATGAACGAGGGGCTGCTGCCGCGGCGGATTGAAATACTTTTTTATTTCTTTTTTTTTCGCATTTTAATTCATCTGATGCTGCTTTTGAACGGCGAGATCGGCGAAAAGAAGGAGTTTTTTTTCGCGGTTTCCGGAGCTGCGCATACACCCGAGCGCGCGCCGCCAGCTTCCCGCTGGCGGCGCAGCAGCAAAGCAGCAGCAAATTCGAAGTGGCGTTTTTGTGAATTTCAGAATGCAAAGTTTTATTGGAAAAGTACCATTTGGAGGCGCGAGTTCGCAGAATGTGCTGCTGCTGCTGCTGCGCTGCTGCTGCTGCTGCTGCTTTCTGCTGCTTCCCCCCGCGGGCGCAGTGCTGACCCAAGACCACTCCAAACTCCTCCCCGGGCTGCTCAAGCCAACTCCTCCTCGAATTGGTAATTAAAAAAACAAAAAGAATTCAAAAAGACTTTTTGTTTGCAAGAAAAGCCCCAGAAGTCCGGCTGATGCCCAACAAGCGCTTCCGCCTGACCTCCAAAGAACTCCAGACCATCGCCTCAGAGCTCAAACAACAAATCCAACAACAGGCAAATCCTCTTTAAATATATTATTAATTAAAAGTATTTTAAACTAAACCAAAAGGCCATAAAATAAACTCCAACAACTCCCATTTCCCTTCACTCGGGGCCTGGTGCCGCTGCTGCAGGTGGCGAAGGTGCAGCAGCAGTTCGCGCAGAGCCCCCAGGGGCCCCCGGGGCCCCGGGGGCCCCGGGGGCCCCTGGGGCCCCGGGGGCCCCTGTACCCTCTCGGGGGCCCCAGGGGGGCCCCCGGGGGGGCCCCTCCTGCGGTAAGAAAACAAAAAGTGGCAAATGTTGCAAATTCAACTTTTTGAACTTCAGGGATTTCGGCAGTTGGAGAAGACGCAGCAGCAGCAGCAGCTGCTGCAGCAGCAGCAGCCGCTGCTGCTGCGGGCGATGGTGGGATTTGTTTTTAGTTTGAATAAAACATTTTTAAATTAAATTTAAAGTTCATTTAAATGCCTTTTTAATCTGTAAGTGCTGCCTGGGCTGCTGCTGCGGCGGGCAATGTTTAAATAAATGTTTAAATAAAATAAACAAATAAAATAGCTGGTACAGCAACTTATGGAAGCTGCTGCAGCAAGTGCCGCAGCAGGAAGCAGCAGCAGCAGCAGCAGCAGCAGCAGCAGCAGCAGCAGCAGATGAAGCAGAAAAGACTCGCAGCAGCCTGGGGGCCCTGTTCGAGTCTTTGGAAGAAGTAAGAAAATAAAAAATGAAAAAAAAGAAAATTAAAAAAAGAAGCAGCAGATCTCTGAGGTGTCTAGACACCTCGACGAGAAGGAGGCGCAGACACTCCCAGATGGTAAATTCATTTTTATTTTATTTTCTTTTTTTATTTTTTTAATTTTCTTTTTTTACTTTTTTTATTTTCTTTTTTATTTTTTAAAACTCTCCTCCAGGGCCTCTCTAAAGCTCCTTTTAAACTCCTGCTGCAGCTGCAGATTTGCTGCTGCTGCTGCTGCTGTTTATTTCATTTAATTTCAATTTTCTTTTTTTTCATTTTGAAATGTTTGTACATTTCTTTTCCCCTTTGCGTCCCGCCGATAGTTCGAGTTGCTGCTGCTGACGCATTGGCAGCAGCAGCAGCTTCTGCTTCTGTCAAGTTCAACAGCTGTTGCTGCTGCTGCTACTGCTGCTTCTGCTGCTGCTGCTGTTGAAGGGCAGCAGCAGCTGGAGTGTGTCTCAGAAATGCCGAGAGGAGTTTAAAAAATTTTTTCTGTTTTAAAACGAAGACACAAATGCATGCAGCAGCAGCAGCAGCAGCAGCAGCAGCAGCAATTAGGAAGCAGCAGCAGTTTGGGGAGGTCCAGGCAAGTGTTGAATTTGTTTGGAATTAAAATAAATTAATAGTTGGAATGTTAATTTAAATTAAATAAATAATTTAAATTAAAAGTAAATATCAATCTGCACCGGAAAGGGCAGAACTGCGGGCTGTGAACCACTTCTGCTGCTGCTGCTGCTGCAGCAGCAGCAGCAGCAGCGGCGAGGTTGCTGCTGCGGCTGCAGCTGACTAACCCTTCAAACTCTTCTCTTTGCTGCTGCAGCAAATTAAATATTTTAATTAAATTAAAAAAATAAAAAGATAAAGAAGACAAGAGGAGATCAGCAGCACACAGCAGCTTCTCTTGACATGCAGCGCAGCAGCAGCCAGCCAGACCGGTGTGCTGATTCGCTCCCAAACCCTAAACCCTAAACCCTAAACCCTAAACCCTAAACCCTAATTCTTGAAAAGCTATTTATTTTGCTGTTTTAAGCCGAAGAAGACAGTCAAGAGAGCCGCAAACCTCTCCGCCGCTCGCTCCACCATTTCAATGTTTCCGCCCAACCCTAAACCCTAAACCCTAAACCCTAAACCCTAAACCCTGAACCCTGCAACTTGGCCCAAGCTCTAAACCCTTTTTCAATTTCTAAAATGCTGCTCGTGTCTTCCTGCCTTGCTCAAAAAGTTTAAAAGAAGTATGCCTTTCTTTGGCAGCGCCCAGAACTCTGCTGCTGCTGCTGCTGCTGCTGCTGCTGCTGCTGCTGCTCGCTGTAGGGTGAGGGGCCCCCAGCACCTAGCCAGCTAATTGCCGTTTTCTTCTTTTCTTTTCCAAGAAGGTCCAGCCCAGACCTCTCCAGCAACCCAACCCTAAACCCTAAACCCTAAACCCTAAACCCTAAACCCTAAACCCTTCGAACTTATGTCCTGCGACAAGCCAACCCTCCCTTCTTGTGAGGGGGGAACTCCCCCTGAGCCTTCCTCTGCAAGTGTACCCTCTCAAGAACTCCTAGGGGGCCCCTCAGGGGGCCCCTCGGGGGGCCCCCCGGGGGGGCCCCCTGGGGGCCCCCCTGGGGGCCCCCTAGGGGGCCCCCCTGGGGGCCCCCCAGGGGGCCCCCCGGGGGGCCCCCCTGGGGGCCCCTGGACTTCTACAAGTCAGCCCTCTTTGGAGTTTTTCTTGAGTCAGATTTGCTGCTTCGACAGGGAGAGTATTGAGAAGGTGAATGAAACCCTAAACCCTAAATCAGTGGATGATTTGATTTACTGCTGCTTGGAGGCCCTGTGGGCCCCCGCCCCCAGCAGCAGCAGCAGCAGCAGCAGCAGCAGCAGCAGCAGCAGCGGCAGCAGACTCAGCGCCTGCATGGAGGACCTGCGGAAGTTCTTGGCAGCAAATAAAGGCAAACAAAATACCAGGGGGGCCCCCCAAGCCGAAAAGAAGGGTCTGGGGGGCCCCCCTTCAAATGTTTCTTCCCAAGAAACAGCTGCCAGCTGCGACAGCAGCAGCAGCAGCAGCAGCAGCAGCAGCAGCAGCAGCAGCAGCGGCAGCAGCAGCGACGTGACCTTGTGCTCCAGCTTCGAATCCACTCCAGCGAGTTCTCAGGGCTCACTGCCCCAAGACCAGCCCTTAGGGGGGCCCCCCCAAGGGGGCCCCCAGGGGCCCCCTGGGGGCCCCTTCCAGGGGGGCCCCCAGGGGGGCCCCCAGGGGGGCCCCCTGGGGGGCCCCCAGGGGGGCCCCCAGGGGGCCCCCCAAGGTGCCCCTCAAGGTGAATACCAAAATGCCCCCGCAGGGGCCCCTGCCCAGGGGGCCCCCCTAGGGGCCCCCCAGCGGGCCCCCCAAGCGAGCACTGAAGGGGCCCCCCAAGGGGCCCCCAAGGGGGCCCCCCAAGGGGGCCCCCAAGGGGGCCCCCAAGGGGGCCCCCAAGGGGGCCCCCAAGGGGGACCCCAAGGGGGCCCCCAAGGGGGCCCCCAAGGGGGCCCCCAAGGGGGCCCCCCAAGTGGGTTTATTTTTGGACTTGAGAGGGCTGAAGAGCTTGCTGGGAGGCCCCCGTTTTGTTTAATTAAAATTGAAAAAGAAAAAATAAAAAGTTTGATTGAAAAGCTTTTCAAATTCACCGCCAAGTACCTCAACGAAATGCAACTCGTGATGCTTAAAGTCGGTCGAGGGTTTAGGGTTTAGGGTTTAGGGTTTAGGGTTTAGGGTTTGGGGAGTAGGGTTTGCTGCGTTCTTCTGCGCTGTGTAGAGGCGTTTATGCGTAGCAGGCGAGTTGCTGTAGGGTTGGGGAGGGAGTCATGAGGGTTTAGGGTTTAGGGTTTAGGGTTTAGGGTTTAGGGTTTAGGGTTTAGGGTTTGAGTTTGCAGGAAAACATGAGGGACATAGCCGATGCCCTTGTCACTCACGGCTGCCTCTCCCTGTCGGACCTTGCGGAGCTTCTGCAGCAGCAGCAGCAGCAGCAGCAGCAACAGCAGCAGCAACAGCAGCAGCAGCAAGAGCAGCAGAAGCGTGAGCAGCAGCAGCAACAGCAGAACACTGAAATGGAGGAGGAAGCAGCGGGAGGCACAGCTGTTTCAGCCGAGCCGACAGCAGCAGCAGCAGCAGCAGCAGCAGCACCAGCAGCAAATTCAGCAGCAGAAGCAGCAGCGGCTCCCGCAGCTGCAGCAGCAGCAGCAGCAGCAAATTCAGCAGCAGAAGCAGCAGCGGCTCCCGCAGCTGCTGCAGCAGCCTTCAATGCTTCAGCATTTCTTATGAGTCGGTTTGGGTTGAATTACCGGCAGAGCCAGCAGCTGCTGCGGCTGCTGCTGCAGCAGCAGCAGCAGCAGCAACAGCAGCAGGCAGCAGAACAAGAACGGCAAGAAAGACAGCTCTATCAGATCTCCTCCGACAAGGAATTCAAAAAGGTTGCCGACAGGGTCAGCTTCCCTTCCTGCTGCTGCTGCTGCTGCTGCTGCTGCTGCTGCTGCTGCTGCTGCTGCTGCTGCTGCTGCTGCTGCTGCTGTCTGCTTCCCTCTCCCGGCCGCCTTGCAGCCTTCTATCTTCCGCGCCCTCGCGCGCCCAGGGCTTCGCCCAGGGTTTAGGGTTTAGGGTTTAGGGTTTGGGGTTTAGGGTTTAGGGTTTAGGGTTTAGGGTTTGCCAGGTTTACTCGTACATGCACTTCGACCGCTTCGTCTTCGACCAAATCATCGACACTCCTTACCTCCAACGCCTCCTTTAGGCTTTAGGGTTTAGGGTCTAGGGTTTAGGGTTTACCCAAACCCCAAATCCCAAATCCCAAATCCCAAATCCCAAAGAGTCCAAATGAGCATGCACGTGTTCGACCGCTTCGTCTTTGACCAAATAATCGACACTCCTTACCTCCAACGCCTCCTTTAGGCTTTAGGGTTTAGGGTCTAGGGTTTAGGGTTTAGGGTTTGGGGTTTAGGG